ACCCAATTCTTGTAAAAAACTACCAAATTGATGGTTAACATATTCACGACCATTATCAGTTTGAAAAATTTTGATTGTTTGACCAAACTGAGTTTTTATCATAGATTGAAAACTTTGAAAAGCACAAAAAGCCTCATATTTATGTTTAAGAGGATAGATCCAACAATACTTAGTATAATCATCCACAAAATTTATATAAAAATGACAACCACCAAAAGAGGAAATAGAGGTAGGACCCCAAACATCAGAGTGAATTAACTGAAAAGGTTGAGTAGTTACACTTGTAGATAATGAAAAAGGTAGCTTATGTGACTTAGACATAGAACATGATTCACAATGAAACAAATCTGACTCTAGACTAACACCTAATTTTGAAAACAAAAATTTTGTAACTTGAAAAGAAGGATGACCAAGCCGACAGTGCCACTGGTGAGACGATGTCTTCACGGCATTCACTATCAGTGGATCCTTGGTGGAGACAGACGAAGGACGAAAGGACGCGGCTAGAAGGGTGTAAAGACCACGCTCACATAGGCCTTTGTATATCACCTGGTTGGAATTAAAGTGTTGTCCAGGATCAAAAAATCCTTGGAGGTAAAAAGGATAGAGCAATTATTGTCAGTGGTAAAATGGTGAACAGATAAGAGATGAGTGTTTAGATTAGGGACATGAAGAAGGTTGGATATAGTAAAGGTACATGTGGGGGTATTAACATGTCCGGAGCCAACATGAGAGATTTGAAGAGATTGTCCCCCAGCTGTAGAGACTGAGTTGGAGCCATAGTATGAATGAGGATTTTGCAGTCTTGATAAGTAGAGGTCACATGAGTAGTTGCTTCTGAATCTAGGTGCCAATTCGAACCAGGATTAGTGGAGCATGCAGTGTATATAGTGCTTGAGGGTTTGACTGGGACTGTCATGAGAAGTCTTCATTGAACCGATTTCAACACTGACTAACATCGGTGCAAATTTAGCGAGATTGACAAACTTTTGGCGATATTCGGGAAGCGTCATATCTCCTTGTCGTAACTCCACAAATTTTGTATGTTTCTCTTCACGGAAACGTGTTGGGATATACTCTTTCTTGAAAGCCCAGTCAAAGAACTCCCACGTCCAAGGCTTTGGGGTTTCGTTACTCTCAACGGTACGTTTCCACCATTCGTAAGCTTCTCCACAAAGTAACTGTGCTGCGAACCTTGGGTAGTCGTTGGGAGGTACGTTTAGATCTCTCAACACTCGAGCGATTTGTTCAATCCAATTCCAAATCTACGTAGCCAAAGAGGTGGTATTTTTTCAGTACCATCTACGTAGCCAAAGAGGCGATGAGCGATCAAGGTTGCTTTAACCGTTGATGACCATGACGGGTAATTATTATCCTCCAATTTTGTCGGCACAAGAGAGTGAAGATTCCGTAGAAATAACCTCAGGCCACCAGGAAGAGAATCAAACAGATCACGTCCATTTGTTGTCATGTTGTCGAGACACAATACACTTAGGGCGTGGAAAAAATATATCCTCAATCACACTATTTGGTTTGCTGTTCAATTAGGTGCTACTGCCAAAGGAAAATGAGAGTCGGCTGGGCTTAAGTTCCGGATAAGGGAAACTACCATGAATTCGGTGCCACTGCCAAGAGCTCCGCTGTTTGGTTTCGGCAAGTTGTTGTTGTGATCTTGGTGTTGTGTGCGACACACAATGATTAAAGAAAGAAAGAAAAAAATCAAGTTGTTGAGGCAATTGCAAAGAAAAGAAAAAAAGGGAGAAAGAGCTCTTGTATGCGGCGGCACACAGTGTAGGAGAAAACCAGATTTAGGGTTTGAGAAACCTAGGCTTCGATACCATATTGTGATTTAAAACTGAATAACTATGTTGGTTGATTACTCCAAGGAATACATGGGTGTGTGTGTGTGTGTGTGTACACACACACACACACATACATATATACATATGGAGACCTCAAACACGCTTTTTCCTCTGCCGGTGGGCATACACAATTCAATGACTACCGGCGGGATATTGTAATTTTTTATTTTCTTTGATTGTTCTCCCTCACTAAAGAATATCGTGAACTCCTTCAACGAAAAACATTACTGTCGAGGAATCCCACCCAACCATCAATCTTGAAGAAGTTGTCCGAGAAGGGTTGTTCTACAGAGACAGACAACTTTTTCCTTAGCAGGCAATAAAAATAAAAAGTTGGCGTTCAGTGTGTTCGAAAAGAATGGCGTTCCGCATGTTTGTTCGAATACGGTGAAGGTTCGAAAAAAATGGCGTTCCTTTACTCGACTGATTATTCGACGGATTCGAAAAGCTTGGTGTCTCCGTTGAAGAAAAAAACTGAAGTGTCTAGATGACACTTGGACAACGATGGCAGTGGCTTCCTCAAGCTTTGTTGCTTTGTTCAATCTTTTGATGTCCGAGCTGGGCATGTTGAACTCCCATGCTCCAGCTTAAGGGGGGTGTTGGCGAAAGAAGAAGGAAGCCGAATCAAAGAAGGAAGCTGAATATTAAGAATAGAAATATGGTAGGAATAAAAGTTTACTTATTTCTAGTTATAGTAGGAATAGAAATATGGTATGAATAAAAGTTTACTTATATGCTTTACTTTCTTCCTATATAAAGAGGATTAGACATTTGTAATCAAAAACTAATTCAGAAGCCAATTCAATATACAAACTATTTTCTCTCTTATCAATTTCTACATGGTATCGGAGCTACCGCCGCTCTTGGTGACCTAAAAGAGTTCTTTGCTTCCGTCACCGCCGCCAGAAATTCCGGTGACGGTGACAGCACTTTATTCACCTCTATTTTCTTTTCCTTCTTTTATCTTCAAATTAACTTCTTCATTCCAAAAAAAATTCTCGTGTTGAAATCACAAAAAAACCATCAAAGAAGGAACTTCTCTCTTGTGATTATCTCCATAGTTCTTCAAAAAAAAACTAACTCCTCATAAACTCTCTCCACTCATCTTTGTATCTTCTCAAAATCATGGAAAAAAATGATATTCTTAGACCTAATTCTTTTCTTCATCAGCAATTTTTAATCCCCTCTTTTCTCTCTCAAATCACCCATTCTAAACATCAATTTTTCTTCGCTTTCTCCTTTGTTAACCAATAAAATTCCAAAAAAACAACACAAAAGCAAAGCCAAGAGGGGAAGTAGTAAAAGAGGAAAGAATACCTCTACACCCTTTCAAGAAAGAAATAGGGCATTGCCTGGATCCAAGAAAGAGACAAATAATGTCAAAGATCTTCAGTTAAACAGCACCTCTAGTATTCTTCTCTATTCTTCTTCGACGTCAGCAGTTACAAGTGCACGTCAACCTTATTTCTTCTCCAACGACGTCAGCAGCTACCAACGCACGTCAATTTCTCTCTTCTTCAATGATGTCTGCAGCTACCAGTGCACGTCATACTTCTCTCCTCTCCAACGATGTCAGCAGCCACCGGCGCACGTCAGACTTCTCTCTTCTCCAATGACATCAGCAGCCACCAGCGCATGTCAGACTTCTTTCTTCTCAAAGTTTCCAGTTTTCAGCTAGTGTCCAAGCTTGCTCTTGCTTCATCCAAAGTTCAGCTTGAGAGGGGATGTTAAACAATAATAATAGTATTACTTTTGGTAGTATTGGTTGTGGTAGTGTTTCATTATTAGTCAGCTTCCTAATCATATTTATGGTAGATGTAGTATTTTAGTTAGTCTTTATTCTCTATTCCTAGGTGTGTTAAGAATCTCTTATACATATACTCTATCATGTACTTCATAATTAAAAGAGCAATATTATTATACATCCCTCAAGAGTGATAAAGGATAAAAACATATAACTCCGAGTTTGAAGCATATTGTGATGATCATGACATTTTACATAACTTCTCAACCCCAAGGCTCCTCAAAAAAAAATGGCACTTGAAAGAAAGAATAGAACCTTAGCTTGTAAGAAATGTCAAGGATTAAATTATGTTAAAGAGGAATTTACTTAAATAGCACTAAAGCATAATGACTTTCCTAAATAGCATTACATGTGTTTTTTTACCCAATGAAGCACTTTTAGTCATTATGCATCAGTCATTATTCAAGTAAATATTCGCCATCACGGGACATTATGGACATTATTAAGTGCTATTTATAGAATAAAACAGTTTAAGTGCTATTTAGGGAAATGACATAAGTTTTAGTGTTATTTAGTGCAAATATTTCTATGTTAAATATGCACAAACTTTATAGCCGCTAAACGAAAGCTACCCCTGCTGCTTCGTTTTTCCCGTTCCTTTTGGTTGAAGTACTTCTGCCCAAGAAAAAACTAGCCACTTATTGTTCTTATTCTAGACGTGGAAGAAATTTGACTGAAGATTTCTTATTTGTTGTCAAGGAAGTTGAAATGCTCTGTTTTATGATCTCGCTGATCTCTTCTGTTGTAGATCACAAACCTCCTGATCCTAATTTTTAGACCGCTCTGATACCAATTATTAGGCATGATTGGATCAAAGCAAAACAATGTATGGTATTTTATTGTTGTCAACTTGTACATGATTATTTTTGTTCTTGAATATTTCAGAAATTTACGTAAATAACACTAAAATATAATGACTTTTTCTAAATAGCACTACATATGTTTTTTCCCCCAATGTAGCACTTTTAGTCATTATTTAATTAAATGTTTGCCATCACTCGTCATTATGGACATTATTAAGTGCTATTTAGAGAAGAAAATAATCTAAGTGCTATTTAAAGAAATGACTTAAGTTTTAGTGCTATTTAGTGCAAATATTTCTATAAATATAGACAAACTGATACAACTTTTACAAACCAAAACATCTATTATTAGATACTACTCATAATTGCTTTTAAGAATTATCCAATTGTTTGTTTAATTAATTAAATATTTTAAACACACTAACCGACACTATACTAATTGATCCCAACATTAGCTCATTACTCATTCAAATATTTTTGATCAAACTCAATTAAATACAACATTCTAAACAAATTATGTTACTAATAACTCAGCCTTTTCAACATAATTTCCAATCAACATAAAATCAAAATAAATTCATTCAAAATAAACATCGCCGCCCATATATACCCGCCTGGTACATTCAAGAACACAATAAAAATGTCTCTAGCCGCGAGGGGGGGGGGGGAGCGATCCCTATTCAAAAACAAAGGAGGCGGCGCCACCACTTCCACCGCCGAAGCCCCCATCGTGAAACACCGGTTCCTAGGGTTTTTAATCTGGCAAGCTCTCCAATCCACCGCATTCATCTTCCTCAAGAGTATACTCTTTTCCCCTTTCACTACAAACCCTCTGAAACCCTCATTCATCGGCTTATTCGCTTTCATAGCCTTCCACCTCTCACTCCTCCTCTTTGCTTCCGCCGTCTTCGTTCTCTCCACCCCTCACCCTCTCCGGGCAGCTTCTCCACTTGAGCTCCTGCTCGGTTTGGTGCGGATTGTTTTTGTCCCGAAGTCTAGCTCTCAGCCGCTGCTCTCGCCGGACTTCCAGCGCCGTGCTAGGGTTTCGCTCTGTTTTGTTCTGTTTTTGGGGGTTTGTGGTCTTTCTGCGGTGGTGTCCATTACCTCTGTTTGTTTGAGTACTGATGCTTTCAGTCAATTTTGGTCGAGGAGGATGATTATCTGGAATATAGGGTTTAGGGGTTTGGGGGTTGGGCTGTTCTATGGGATTCACTACGTTCTTAAAAAGAGATGGATTCTACAGTTCCCAATTGTCCATGTAAGTTATTGCTCAAACTGAATTCATTTCAAGGAATTGTTATCCCCTAAGGGAGTGGCTATTGAGATGCTATGTGCTGCATTTTGTCTGTTGTCTTTGTTTGTTTCCAAAGCGGTTGTGATAAACCCTCATAAACGTTTGTTGATTTAATCTTCTGCTAATGACATTACTACCTAATTCAGCATTTTTGGAGTAGAATTGATGTTTGGACAATAGTACTTGTAATTTAAGAAGTTAAGGCCATGTTTGGTTACCCCTATGATTTCAAATCAGGCTATGATATCAAGTAAGGATTTGAAAATCTGTTGTTTGTTTGGGGTTGATTTCAAGTCATGACTATAGTCATCTGTCATTGACCTTCGGTGTGGTTGTTTCACATTGAATACCTATGTGACACATGTCCGCTAAGTTTTGTCATATTATTTAATTGCACACACATTACTGACCGGATTTCATATTCATGCGCCACATTAGAAGATCTTCATGTGCTCCCATTTTCCCAAAAGTTCTTCATTCGATTTACAATGTTTAGTTAGAGCAATTTTTAGCTTAGTTTATGTGAAAATTGATGCTTAATTTAAAAATGAAATTTAATATGCGTGTGATACCTACGGGATACATGTCCATGAACTTTTGTCATATTATTCAACTGAATAAATACTTTTGACAGTATTGCATATTCATGTGCCACATTAGAAGATCTTGATTTGGTTTACAATGTTTTACTAAAGTTATTTTCATTTCAATTTATTTAAAATTGATTTCTAATTTAAAAATAAATTTTATATATTTTAAAAGTAAACCAAAAGTTATACGTAGTACTAATTATAAGGGGCTTGACTATTTTATTTTGTCGAGTGACCAATGAAAATATGTATGGAAAGAAGTCAAAGAACATATGATTTGATCTCGTAAATAGTAATGTTGAACCTTACTTTGAGATAGAGGGAGTATGTAGGATAATATTTATATAATTTAATCATACTGTTGGTAAAATATAATTTTCAATGTTTATTTTATACAAAATCTACTTCTTGTGTATTCTTTGTGCCTCGTTCAGAAGTTAACCCTACTACAACCAAATTTTTGGTTGAATTTTTATGGGTTTATGAATTCTACACTAATTTATTGTTCAACGTTGAACACTCGATTAGTATTTAATTAATAGAATCTTGACAACCAAACTAAATCCCCTCTATCCCAAATTGAAGTTTACACTTTTTTGGATGTACCAAAGTGAAGTTTATGTTTTCCCACTTTCCTATTAAGGAAAAGAATATGCGCTCATAAAATTTCTTTGTATTCTAAACAAATTTCAGCAATGCACTTCTTACATTTCTACACTTAAACTTCATTTTGGGATGAAAGGTGTAGTTTATCGGATCATCCATGTGAGGTATATTGTAGTCCGACTCAAAATTTAACTACATATAATAATATTCTCTTTCATACACTCCCCCTCTCTCCCTACTGACTTCTCTTCACATATTCTCTCCCTCACTTCTTCTCTTTTCCATTTGACCAAAATTGAGGGGTGTGTTTTGTCCCTTACAACAACAACAACAACCCAGTTGAATCCCACAAAAACTAGGGTCTGGGAGGGTGTGTGTACACAGACCTTACCCTTACTCAAAAGTAGAGGTTGTTTCCAAAGAGACCCCTGGTTCAAGCACCCCAGGCAATCATGTACGCAGCCTGACCCACCCCTATGTTTAAAACATAGAGCAGCTATTTTCGGATGACCCATGATAAGCGTCATAAGTTGTATTGACTAACTGCTACTTAACTATTTAAAGAAGCAAAGACAGTTTAAAGAGCGAGCCATTTTGCTATATTCCATCATAACCCAAAACAAAAAATTACTGAATCTTTGGCTCCTTCGGAGATGATGGAACTGTGTTTTCTCCCTTGTGATTTTTCTTTTCTATTTTTAATTAATTTTGTCACAAACAAAATCACAATCCAAACAAGTTTCAAAATCACTATAACCCTAAATCGCCAACTCCAAATCATACTCAAAATCCATGATTATGAGCCAGAGTTTGCAATAGCTGCTCTAATAGCCTGTAAATGACTTTAAATTTGCGTTAGTTGCATCTGTCTCCTTTGGACTTGGGAGTGAGATGTAAACATTAAAAGCAGGTTGTGCGCTGAGTAACTTATGTGTTTCTCTAAAAAAATTGGTCTTCTAATATAGAAGTCCGTCAATGTGTCCTTTCACTCCTTTGAAGCTTTCAGATTCTAACCACCTACATTTGAATGGTATCTTGTAGCTGTAACATTTATGTATCCCGACATGGCGACATAAGATTTACCCGTTTTACATTTTTGTTAGTTTGATAGATGTTATGATGAAACTTTCTATGAAGATGCTTATGTGTTAACCTGTGTAGTATAGTTAACTATGCTTTTGTTTGTTTTTCCTTTCAGATACCATGTGAAATCATTTAGCTCCTTTGGCTGCTTGCATTGTTCATATGATGTTTTGCTTTATCCCTTTTCTTCTTATGGAACTTTAAAGGAAAATCTTGTTCTTGCAGCGTCCTCCTTTCTTCAGCTTTAAGATGGGTATTCCTTCAGCTATCAGGCGTGCTGTAAAACTTACAACAATAGGTTTCCTGTTGTCATCTATTCTGTCATTTGGTCTTCCCAGTGAGCTTAGAGGCCAAATGACAGCCATGAAGTTCATTACTGAGCATATAATATTCTACATGGGAACCTTTGTGCTGTTTCTATGCTGGGAACTATCTCATCATTTACATCAGGTTAACCCTTTAGCTTACATATTCATGCATGTTTTATTCTTGCTAAATTAATAAAATATCTTACATTGATTAGTTTTATATAGATTAGAGATGGTATGAACTATGAACAGAACATGTGAGAATGGAATTGTTCTGACACAGTCACTGAATTAGGTTCTGCAAACAAAACGGTTTGTATTTTCACATCCAAAAGGTTCTGCAGCAGCTGAAACAAATCCAAGTGAGCCTCTTCTTGTGACACTGGAAGAGAGCATGCCAAGGTCCCTTTTGCAGTATCTAGCATATATTGACCTTTGCATGGTTTGTGAGAGTAATGTTGATTCTTGGCGCCGAGCTGCATTTTTTGAAGAAACTGGTGAGACTTACAAAAGGGTAGTGGATGCATGCTTGCAACCTTTGGAGAAGTTCACAAGAGGCTTGTGTGAAGTGCTGGATAGCCCTTGTGGGGACACTTCTTTCCAGTTTTCTTATCACCTTAGGCCATCGCCAGAACTTTTAGCGGACTCAAAACTTTATGAATCATTTGAGGAAAACCAGGTAATTTACTGTTACAAGTCCTTAGCTATTATTATTATTTATTGTTGTTGTTGTTGTGATTATTATGATGATTATTATTATTACTAGTATTATTATTAGTACTAGATTCATACCCGTGCGTTGCACGGCAAATAATTTTTTTCAAATTATTAAAATGATTTTTTCATGAAATAAATGTCTAAATCCATATTTAAATATAGGATTAAATATAAATGAATTAATTTAACTATATGAATTAATTTGACACACGATCACAATATATGAAAGAATTGCATTCTAAACCACACTTTCTATTTAGAATAATATTGTACTTTCTCTCAAAATATCTTTCCCCTTAGCTTTCTTTTTTTACTTGTCACACAAAATCCATCATATTTCTATTAAAAAATCACGTTTACCCGTACTAATTCTTAACCTACCTATCAAATCATACATTTTCACTAATAATCTACATATCAAAGGTATTTGTAAAAATTCAACATAAAAATATTCTTGCCTTAAATTTTCTAAAAGTCAAAATGGAAACATCTTTTTGGAGCTCACTTTAATGGTAGAATTGTAGGTCCCCTTGTCAATAACATATGTAAAATAATATAAGGAAAGATAAAAGATCTCCAACTTTCATATATCTTCTACATTTAACTCCACTTGATCTTTCGAATGATTAAAACTATGCATTCCTAAAATATAATATATTTTTTACAATTAATAAGAAGCCAACTCAACAATTGGCTCATTTTCACTTCAAAATATACTATTGTACAAACGCATATATACTCTTTAAAATACTGATACAAAAATATAAAGACGTGATTTCTTTGAGAGGTAAAAGTCAGACATAAAAAAATAAGACGAAACCTGCTATTGAAATCTTCCCTTTCCAAATTTTTACCCACTCTTCACTTGCATCCCCAAAGTTCTGCATTTATGAAACCTTTTATGCTCTACAAAGTTCACTAATAATTTCAATAAATTGTGCGTATGTATCTTTATTACTCCGTATAACACATTGATATTAACACTGTCTTGATGTCATCATATTAGCAGTGTGTTGCTTTAAATAAAGTTTTTCCTTAAAAACAAATTTGCTATTTTGTTTCACAAATTGGTTATTGTTTCTTGCAAAAGGGATACTATATAATAAAATGAATGCCCAATTCTTTCCTTATTCTTCTTAGAGTAAATTCCATAATTGATCCTTTATAACATGGGGGTTTCCATATTTAATCCTTTATTATCAAATATTACCCCCGTAGTCCTTTTTTAAGGGTACCTTTCCACAAATGGTCCTTTTTTTGATCTTTTGCCGTGTTGGTGTGAATTTAAAGGCTAAAAATATAATTTGACATCAATATTATGTCTAGTGACGTGTTCTGATATTAGTTAAGCGGATAACACAAAAATAATCACTATGATTGTGGGCTAGGATTCTGACGAAAGATCACATTTGTAGACTATCGTTGTCGTAAAAAGCGACTGTAATTTACAAACAACGCAAACGAAACAGTCTTTGGAATTGTGTATGACAAAAAAGATATATTATCATTGTGAAATTATACTTTTAGCACTCAAATTAACACCAACATGATAGAAGATAAAAAAAGGACTATTTGTGGAAAAGTACTCATAAAGGAAGGACCACTGGGATAATATTTGATAATAGAGGACTAAATTAAATAGGGAAACCCCCCTGTTATAAAGGACCAATTATAGAATTTACTCCTTCATAATAAAGGAAAGATGCAATTTGGAAAATGTTTTTGAGACATGATATAACAATAGATAGATGAAAATTAGCACGAAACAATATATGAAATTAATCTAGGGATGATGTATTAATGGAAAAAAAATCTCTAAATTTAAATTGGGAAAACAAATGATGAAATTGATCGCTTGATAATTGAAGGGGCTGCTATTGTGGTCTCCATAGTCTCCAATCTCTTTCACGTACTACATTTGAAGAAGTACGATGAAGAAACTCCCTGCAATGGGAATCGGAAGAGATAAGGTAGATATGGAACAAAACTTCTTGAAAGTCTAAATTAAAGGCATCATTAAATTAAATGATTGCGGGATTAAATAAAAGTAAATATATTAGGCGCATGCTACATGTACACCAAAATTTGTACCCCATTTATACACCAAAAGTATGCACCAATATTTTGATGGTTTACACTGACACAAAGTGTTGGAGCGTTAACAAAAATTTACACTGACACAAAGTGTTGGTGCGTTAACAAATATTAGTGCATGTTACACCAACACAAAATGTTGGTACATCCATGCGGTGTACAAAATGGGGTTCAAATTCTTAAAGTACAAATATCATTTTCCAATCTATTAAGATGACTCACCCGTTTTTAAAACATACTTCGTATTCACAATCTTGGATTCTTTTCTTTTGGATTAGAAAAATTAGTTTCTAACTTTTTTCAACTTCTTATAATTTCTTTCAACTCCTAATTTTTTATCAATAATTTAGAAAATGTACTTATATATGATGAATATAAAATAACATTATATATCTAAATTTATAAATTATAGCATATCACATCAAACACAAACAATAATATATTCATTATTATCCAAAATTAGATTTTTCTAATATATGTATCTAGTTGATCATTTAATTGAGTAATTTTTTAACACTTAAATTCTTTCAATATTTTTCAATTTCCAACTTTCTCTAAGTCTTTCAAGTTTCTTCTAAATTCTTTCAATTTTTTCCAATATCCATCTCTGAAATTTCTATTCAAAAGAACAAAGCCTAATTCATGCATTAATAAAAATTAATTATAATCTCCAGTGCAGAACACACGCAAGCCCAAAGCCATTACTTGATACTCTTTATTAATTATGCCCTTTGGAATCTCATTCAATTATGTTTAGGAAGATAAAAGGACAGCCGCATTTTGCATATTACCCATGCGCAGCAAATCTTGTCCGTAGGTATATCAAGAGCTTCCAATCAATGGCTTGGAATAAATTACCCCAATTTTTTTTTCTTTTTTTTGAAAAGTGAATTCTTTTGCTTTTGTATATAGTTATAGATTATTACTATTAATAGTTTTATTGTTATTATCATTACTACTACCACTCGGATATTATTTCTTTCCTATTTGTATTCTTATTCTTAGTTTACTATTTGTAGTCTTATTCTATTTAGTTAATATTCCTAATAAGGATCTAGGTTAATAAGGATCTAGGCTTCCTAGTAGGATTGTGGTAGTTCTCTTGTAAGGCTTTGCTTATTTATATTCAACAATTCATTAATAACATTATCATTTAAGAAAATTAAGAATTCAATTGCTTCGGACTCTTGAATCATAAGCTTTCTTCCTAGAGCTCTCTTGTTATCTTCCGCCTCTCCCACCACAAGACACTAGACAAAGGCTACCGCAGTACCGCCTAGCCTTTAAATATGATATTAGGGCGGTACCACAGGTAACTGACATGGGCCTAATGACGAGCAATGACATGAAACATACCCTCCAACCTGCAACCACCAAAACCGGTGAGCATCACTATTTCTCTCTAAACCTGACATGACTCTAGATAGGAATGTTTGCAGGTCGAGGATTAAAAGTAGGCCTAGAGTAGTGGTGTTTCTCTATGGATAGGGCCTTTGGGTTTAGATAGATGTAGTACAGTGTTTGCTTGGTTTTCTCTCTTTTAATATACCTTTACTTGCTGAGCTTATTGATTCTTTTTGTGCTTGAGCCGGGATCTCTTGGAACAATCCCTCAACCTATTCTAGGTAAGAGTGGGGTCTGAGGACACCCAGACCTCATTTATGGGATTGTACTGGCGCTGTTGCTATTTTGTACACACTTATCAAATTGCTGGAACATTTGTGTTGTTTGTGGTGAGATAATGCATGCTCATAACAGTTGTACTGATGAGCATGCAGAATAACATGATGTCAAGTTCATTTTCTACTCTTACATTCTAGTTCCATCTCCACCAAATTGCTCCCTTGTTGAAATAGATCTTGAGCTTGCTTGCCCGAAGAAGATAAGTGTAGTGTAAGAAAGATCTATTTCTGGAAGAGTTTAAAAAACAAGGAATTTCAGAACATAACTCGTTGGTTTTATTTATAATAGAAAATGGTTGATTTCCAATTATATAGTCCTCTCTTTAAATTTACAAAAGAGCTACATGAAAGAAGCCACACAGTATAGGGTTCTACAAAATAGAGGTGTGCTTCATCATCTGTTCTGATTTCCAAAGTGCACTTTTTAGAATATGCTCCTCTGCTTAGCTTAACTTGACCTTTCCTAAGGTCAACTTATAAGAAAGAGCACAAAGTGCGCTTCTTTCTTATGCTCCTTGGAACTCCTTTGCGTTCTTCTTTCTTATAGCTCGACCTTTCTCTTTTGTGTCATTGTGTAAAGTGTAAACATAAAGGAGTCATTTAGGAAGTCTTTTAAGGAGCAGTCATTTAGGAAGTCTTTTAGGTAAGGTCTGCGTACACAACCCTACTTTTGTGGGACTTTACGAGGTTTTTGTGGGACTTTACTAGGTTGTCGTTGATGAGGAGAAGATTAAATAGTCCATTTGTAAAAGCACCAACTTTACAGAGGCCATTTGTAAAAGCCACATCTTCATTGACCGCATCCTCGCGCACAGAGGACCGATATGGAGTGGCACAACTCTCCGGACGCAATGCCGCTGTGGTCTCCGCACTGTTGTCAGGTTTATTAGCCGCGGAAGCCCTGATGGGCAAGAAGACCAGCTTAGAATCTTCCCATCACCACCAGATGGACCCCACAGGGATCAAATGGGCAACACTGAACAGCAGCTCTGGAAGAAGAGACCCAACTCCCTCTGGGGTTGCAGGGAGAAGAAAGGGGAGCCTTCTGTACACAAAAGCCTATTCAATGGCAGATGTCCTTAGGACTTCCATTTACAGCATTGTGGTCGCGTTCCACGACGAAATGTCAGCCAGTTTAAGGGCAGGTACCCTTGAGAAGGACTGGATCGGAGCGCCTCTCTATGGGACGCGGGAGCTGCTTCTGCAGAAATTACGCCTATTTCTCGATTTCCAAGCTAACTAATTTGTTTTAGTCTTTCACAGCACAAGAGAGAATGATGATGGGGGGGATGGTTTGGAAATGGAAACTGTGGTAGGAAAGAATGTTATCTATGAAAAAACTGTAACATTACTTCCTTTCCCCTCTTTTGTATGTTGAGTTTTTTTTTAAATATCAGAAATCATCAACAAAGAAGGAAAAAAAGTGACTCCATATATGAAATGCCAAAATATTTTTGTTTTCCATATGATATTGCCATGATATCTTGTTGAACTTTCCTATTCTCTCAACACTATTTTTGTTGGCCTTGAAAGACTTGAGTTGTTCCCAGCTTTCTTACAATTCCTTGAACTCATCTCTATTTTAGATGTGCCTAGAAATTTGAGGGTTCGTATGGTACAAAGAATTGATGGAATAGGAATTGAATTGGGAGTTGAAATTCTATGAAATTGATTTGGACAGAATTAAGTTTCCAAATCCACATATGTTTGTGCTACCACATATAGAATTGAAATTGTTGTTTCCAATTTTAATTTTATAGTTTGAATTTCGTGTAACAAACAAAGTCTATCAAATTTTGCGATTAAGTCTAAAATTTATTTTGCATTAAATTTGGCATGTTATATACTCCTTCCGTTCCAAATGAAATTGTTTGTTTAGTATTGATGTACTCAAATTTTGTAATTGAGTCTAAAACTTAAATTAAACTCAAATTAAATTGTATAATTATTATTTACAAGATCAAATTTTACTTTCTTTCTTTAATTATTTTCACTATCTATATGATAAAGAGTAAAATAATTTAATCATGTCGGTTTGTTTTGAAGAATTTTGTATATAATTTTTAAATATGTATTTTTTAAAAAAATCACCCCAATTCTAAAATAAATTGAACTAAAAATAACTTCATGTAAACATAGTAAATCAAAACAGATTCTCTAAAATAGGGTGGAGACATTTTTCTTAAACGCAATAACCTCTTAATTCAATACCAAACCAGATATATATGGTGTGTTTGGTTGGGCGAAAAAAAATATTTTTCAGGAAAATTTTTATTCCATTTTCATGTGTTTGGTGACATTAGTGGAAGGAAAATATTTTCCTACCAAACAATGGATTATATGATTGAAAAATAATTTTTCTTGGAATTATTTTCCTTTGGAAAATATTCTTCAAAAAAAATATTTTACCCCAACCAAACACAACGCCATGGAGAAATTATTTCTTTGGTTAATAGCACTAATTATTTCTACCTGTAGACATTTGTAGCATCTACCTAGCATCATTTCTTTAAATGGTAGAGTAGTACATTTAGTTATATATTTATTAGTTATTAATTAATTAGTAGTAGTATTCATAAATATATGCTATATCTTAATAACTACTCCCTCTGTCCTATAATGATCTTCCCGGTTCGCAAAACGAATAAAAATCCCAAGTTTTTTCAATCTATTTTATTTAAATATTGGTATAGAAATAAAAAATAAAGCATACATATTTAAAAACTACACCAAAAGTTCAACAAAACAAGTGGTGACAAGAATATTTTATTTTATCATATAGGCCATGAAAAAACACAAATAAATATAAATTCCCGTGAAGTTGGAATAGTGGTCTGGGAAGATCATTATAGGACGGAGGGAGTAATAAATATATAACTAATAGTGTTTTATTATCCAAACGTTCTCTAGATTACATAGTCGAAAAACTCGGTATCGAACACAACAAAATTCAACTTCCATTTTCTTTTCTTCAGGAGATTAAAGATAGAAATATATATGCTATAAGTTATCTGTTGAATCTTAGTTTTCGTATACTTGATAAGATCTTGAATAATGATGCGACTTTATTTCAAACCACTTGATGATGTTCAAGATATTAGATGTGTAATAAACAAATATATCTTCCATAGATTTCAAAAAATATATATTTCCCAATCTGATGGGGAAAAAAACAGAATACTGTACAAAAAAATATGTTATATCTCTGGAATGTTGTTCTAATGACTAAACTAAAATATCTAAAGTGTATCAAGATCTACTACCCATTGGATGATCAAATCCGAATTCTTCTTCAGCTTGACATAGCAAGTCTTGGAATGAATGGTCCTTCAAGTATGAAATTGGAAGCACAAAGCGTTTCTTCTTGCCCATGCCTATATAGACGGTAAAGTGACCCTTGGGAACCTCACTCTCTCTGTTAGTTCTTGAGGAAGACCTTCTGAGGCCGTGTTTCCCACGGAGAATGTGCCACATGCCGATTGGCATTTTTCCTTTGAAGTATGAATTTGAATGAGATAATCACAGAAAACAATTTCTGAAAGCAGAAACTCTGTTTTTTATGAAGAAAGACCTTGTTTTGTGTTTTATTGGATGTAGTAGCTAGCCATTGGAATGTGTTTAAATAGATAGATAGATATGATCCATTCAAGAAGTTTCCAGCTTCCAAGATGATGTTGTGTTATGGTGTGATAGCTCATTTGTCTTCCACATGTTTATGTCTTCCAATAATAATGTCTACTACCAACTTTACATGTCCATAACATCATTCCCCACTTATGTGAAATGTATTTTGGTCAATCTATTTAAGTAGCTAATGTGTTGATATGTGGTTCCTCATTTATGTGGAACAAAGCATATGAGATCTTCTAAAGATCTCTTTCTGTTTAATAATTTTCCCAATTGTGTATTTGAATTTTTTTATTAGTGAATAAATTTATCTAAAATGTTCTCTGCAAAACCTATTTTCATTGATGATATCAAAGAATGAGAAACACATTTGAAGGGTTTGTTTCATGTTTCACTCTCGCTTCTTGAATATGCGTGATACTCTGAAAAGTGTACAAATTAGATGTTATGTTTGAAAAATAAGAGTACAAGGCAACCGTTAGGAAGAAGAACTTGGAGTTCCTAAAATTACAGTGACAATTTTGGACTTCCTAAAAATTTGGTGACGATTCTGGCCTTGAATATTCATAGAATGACAATTTTAGTCGGATCCCAACAATCGGTGAATATGGGTTGTTGGGCTAAATCGGTGAATATGGGTTGTTGGGCCTGATGATCGTAAAATAAACTCAATGCGTTATCATTGTAATTATCAGTGTAAAATGTAGCCTCATGAATGTACTCAATGTGTCGAAACATAGTTATCTTCGTAAAAGCACGGTTCCAGTGACACTGCCACATTGAGTACTGTTCACATTGCGGTGCCACTGCCATTTAGCATAAAAAAAATATTGTGATAATAACTAAGAGAACCAGCAGTGTCGTGGCTTTGCTGTTGCCACGTCTGCGACATCACCACATAACACATGTTGCTTTACGTGGCCCAAACAATTCTCCATGCCTTGTAAGCCATGCCCGAGGCAGTTGTTCCAAATTTCATCTTTGTGTTTTCATAAAATAAAAGAATTAAAAAAAAAGGTAGACGTATTTTTTGGAAATAATTATGAGCTAAATAACCTTAATATTTACACTATCAATCATGGTTATATATGTACATTACCAAAAAGTATAATAAAATGTCCATGTACAGTGCCACATTACCACAGTGTAAATTCCTATTTAGAAAATAATAATATATGGAACTTCTATTTTATTACTTTCTCTATGTTCTACTCCTATTGATTGTGATGTTTAACCATATTAAGGAGTAAACAACAAAATTATTGGCTAAAATCCATCATTGGTCCTTCAACTGTGTGAGCTGTGCACGATCGGTCCTTCATTCAAGTCTCAAAAGTTCATAAATAGTCCTTCAAGTAGGGTTCGATGAATCGAATCCAATGGTGCAAACGGATCTCAATTTAGAGCAAGTTGACCCGAAAAGTGTGTTTTTACTCAGACACATAATTAATGGTTGAAAAAAATAATTAATGGGTTCAATAAAATAATTAAGTTCCGACTTCAAAACAACCTTTTCCCAATTAGTTGTAATGGATCAAATCGGGTCTGAGTATAGATCAAATCGAACAAAAACAGATCTAATCGGGTCAAATCAAATCCAAAACCAATAAGATCAGATCAAATCTTCCAAGAAAATCTAAGCTTTTATATAGGATGTGTCCTATTTTCTTGATGTAATCTTTAAAAGGATCAGATCGAACCTAATTAAATTGAATTGAAACAAAACAGATCTAATCTGATCAAATGAAATTCAAATATAATAAGATGAGATCAAATCTTCAAAGAAGATATATTTACTTGTATAAGTTGTGTCCTATTTGCTTGATATAATCTTTAAATGCATCAGATCGGACCTAATTAGATCAAATCATACCAAAATCGATCTAATCAGATCAATTTAAATTCAAATCCAACAAGATCAGATCAAAACTTTAAAAAGATTTATTTAACAAAAAATGTACAACTAATTTATTATTTTATTATTATAGTGGTAATGATTAGGTATTTTGACTATTTATTTTTTGGAAACCCATCTTGTACTATCATGAAAACAGTTTGGTTTGATTCGAGATATAATTTGTTAGAACCATTTGAAAACTTACTTTTCAATTTGGTACATTATCGTTCTAGTTTGAAACAATATAATATTGAATCGGTATTTTTGCATACCCCTAATTGAAAGTGGTACATAAGAGTGAGAAAATTTATGGACCAAAAAACAATATAATATCGAATCAGATTGTTGATTCAAAAAATTTTCATGTTCGTCTCAAACTTTAGAATCCCTCCTGATTTTTCCCGCCTAATATGTGACCCCAATTTCGCAATTAGGTCTATGGCCTCCCATTCAGAATATCTCTTCTCCGATAGGATAATTTCCGTATCTTCTTCTAAATCACAACCATCGCGAATGAACAGTAAATTAGGCGGTCCATTGCCAATTACCCATACTCCACTGATTTGAGCTTGTTTAATCAAATTTTTGGATATTTGGGTTCTCCTTTAGCAGGCGAATCCATACCAGACTTCATCTCTCAGAATTTGGAAGAGAATTTTGAAGAACCGAAGGTCAACGCCGTGTCTGCCATTGTTCATTCGCGATTTTGTCATTGTGATTCACATCGATCCAGACATTTTTGATGGCTATACTTCTTATTAGAAATATTAGAATGAATTCACAGCATAATATTCATCTTATTCAATTCATCATCAAATGATGAGTATAAATATTACAAAGTGAATAATCTAGACAATTAAGGAAGGTAAGTGGAAGATAATAAAATATCTTTGATTGGTAATTTGATTCCAATCAAGGATATTATCTTAGTCATCAATATTATTCCTTTGTTTGATACTATTCCTTTGTTTAACATTTCTAACACTCCCCCTCAAGTTGAATCATCTGTTTCGGATGTTTAACTTGCTTAATGTTGCTTGAAAGAGTCCATCTGGTACTGCTTTTGTGAGAATGTCTGCCAATTGATCTTCAGATCGGACATATGGAAGACTGATGATATCTGCCTCGAGTTTCTCTTTGATAAAGTGACGATCAATCTCGATGTGCTTGGTACGATCATGTTGTACTGGATTCTCTGATATACGAATAGCAGCGGTATTATCGCACATCAGTCTACATTTACCCTTCGGCGGATATCCCAAATCTTTAAGGAGTTTTCTTAGCCAAAGAACTTCAGTAATTCCTCGAGCGATCCCTCTGAATTCTGCTTCTGCACTTGATAGAGCAACTANCTGGTACTGCTTTTGTGAGAATGTCTGCCAATTGATCTTCAGATCGGACATATGGAAGACTGATGATATCTGCCTCGAGTTTCTCTTTGATAAAGTGACGATCAATCTCGATGTGCTTGGTACGATCATGTTGTACTGGATTCTCTGATATACGAATAGCAGCGGTATTATCGCACATCAGTCTACATTTACCCTTCGGCGGATATCCCAAATCTTTAAGGAGTTTTCTTAGCCAAAGAACTTCAGTAATTCCTCGAGCGATCCCTCTGAATTCTGCTTCTGCACTTGATAGAGCAACTACCTTTTGTTTCTTGCTTTTCCATGTGACCAGATTACCTCCAACAAAGGTAAAATACCCTGAAGTGGATCTTTGATCATTTGGATTCCCTGCCCAGTCAGCATCTGTGTAGGCTTGAATATCTAAGTGACCATGTTTTTTGAATGTAACTCCCATATTAATGGTCCCCTTAAGATATCTCACGATTCGGATAGCTGCATCTCAATGTTCCTTCTGTGGTTTGTGCATGAACTGACTTACCACTCCGACAGCATATGCAATATCAGGTCTTGTGAGTGCGAGGTATATAAGTCTGCCTACAAGTCTTCGATACTTATCTTGATCAGCTTGTATTCCTCCCTCATTAATTTGAAGTCCGTGGTTAACCATCATAGGAGTGATAGCCGATTTGCAATCCATTAATCCAGTTTCAACTAAAAGATCAAGGATATACTTCTTTTGACAAATAAAGATCTCCTCTTGATATTTGAGAACTTCAATGCCAAGGAAAAAATTAAGTTCTCCAAGATCTTTCATGTCGAATTCCTGGAATAACTTGCCCTTCAATATAGCCATCTCTTCTATGTCACTGCTAGTAATTATCATGTCATCCACATAGATGATCAAACATGTTATAAGCTTGCCTCGTCTTTTAAGAAACAAGGTATGATCAGAGTTACTTTGACGATATCCATATTTCTTCATGGCTATCGTAAATCTACCAAACCATGCACGTGGAGATTGTTTCAGACCATATAAAGCTTTTCGCAATCTACAACCTTCGCCTTCTCTGAAATTCGACGAGAACCCAGGTGGTGCTTCCATGTAAATCTCATCTTTTAGCTCTCCATGGAGAAAAGCATTTTTCACATCAAACTGATATAAGGGCCAATCTAGATTAGCTGCTACGGAGAATAATACTCGGATAGTATCAATTTTAGCTACTGGTGAGAAAGTCTCAGAGTAGTCAATACCATAAGTTTGAGTATATCCTTTAGCTACCAATCTGGCCTTATATCTCTCGATTGTTCCATCTGCTTTGTGTTTGACTGTAAATACCCATCGGCATCCGACTGGTTTCTTTCCCGGGCAGAGTTGACATTTCTCCCATGTGTTGTTTTTCTCTAGTGCCTTCATCTCCTCCTCCATTGCTTTTCTCCATTCTGGTATTCGTATGGCTTCGTC